ACCGGGGTAGTCTGGGTCTTTGGTCTAATCACCATCTCGGTGTTCCTTCGCCGCCTCTGGTATCAACCGCGAGGAATTCCAGCCACCAACGAGTTGCGAAACGCTTGGCATCCAGGCTACGGCGTAAAGAGACAGGCGATTTGAGGGCCTGGTCAAAGTCTTAGGCATTCAGCTATCCGTATATCCGTACGGAGTGGACGAGATGCTCAACGCATTTCCATATTTCCAGCCGCACTTCGGGCCTTCTCTCGTCTCTAATTCTTCGGTACGCCAAACAAACGGCTAGGCACCCAACATGCATTCCCACTGCGTTCCGGCTGCTGTTAGCCTTCTTTCGCTCTTGATGGACACAAGCCTTTCGACGCCACGCCCGATTCCGTGGCCCAGAGACCGAAGAGAAGCCCAAGACCCTCGAACCGCTTAGCCGCCGCAGGACTTCATCGTCGTCTACACCGATGGCCGTGGCATTAATATGGCTGCGTCTTTCGATGTATCTATACATGGGCCGAAACCTTGCAAAGCTGCAGTCACCCCAGCTGCTTGGCCTTCGCTACCATTCTGCTTTGCCTTCCACGTCTCAGCTGCAGGAGCTAGCTTGTAGCTGCGCCAGTCTGGGGTTCCGCTTTTGGAGTGTCAGGCTCCCATTGGTGACAGGCCCGGCGCAAGTTCCAGGGGCGTTGTATGGTTTCTTCACTACCTAATATCAATACGCAGTATTTTCTCTGCGGACCATGCCCGACTATCGTCTTGAACATCGGACTTTACCGACGCCTTCGCGCGGCCAGACCTGAGCAAGCAAACGTCCGAACTGCGGACTTTTCTTCATACAGCGGAATTTTTCCAGCTCGGAAGCGAGAGAGAATTCGCTGAATTGCCTGCAAAGGTGTTAAGGCTAGCGTACACCGGCATTGGCCATATTGCGGGAACAGCAGGCAGCGGATCTTCTATCTGCACGGCACGATGGACTAACACTACACCTGCACACAACGGGACCCTGTGTGAGTGCAGTACTGCGGTGCGCGCACCGACAGACAGACAGTGCTAACGGCATGCAGACTGGTCGCTGGGGAGGGCGCTTGTCATCAAGATCCCAGATCAATTGTCCGATCCTTACTGTCTCTTCTGATTACACATCGCACAGAAGTTCCCAGCGATCGCAGAACCGCAGCCAAATCGATTTAGTCGGCTACGTATCGGCTGGGCAGGCACTATTTCAACCTCGCGACTGTGAGGGTGACGACTCGGGTCAAGCTTCATCGACGATTCGCATCTCGACAACCGTTAGGCGCTTTGCAAGGCTCCCAGTCAGTCCTCTTTGCGTATGATGCTCGTACGATTCAAGGACCAACCGCAGCTTATTTGTGCCTTCCTAGGGCCACGGCACAAAAAGCACGTCGCCCAAAGCAGAGACGGTTTCCTGCCGTTGACCGTATCCTCTGAGAGGCTCATCCGGCCCATCCGCAGAGCGGCCGGCTTCTTCATCCCATATCAAGCAACTTTTTTGTCTAAAAGAAACGGAATGAACAAATTGCTAGCTGCACACATCAAAATGTCATGGGAGTCTCCTGCAGCAAACCGGAGATGGCTTCAATGCCAAGCCATGTCCGCACCGGAACCAGGCGTGATGTATTGCCGGATCACAATCTTTCTCATGCTCGCCATGCGTGACGCCATTGAGGCATATCTCGAGATTGAGTCTCCGAGGTTTTCTTGGCATTCGCAAATGTATTGTTCGACGTGAAATCAAACCCGCTCCAAAGGGCCGCTCGTACAGCAAGTTTCGCTGGGATTTCCATATTCAGACACGCGGGTAGTAGGGAATTACCAGCATCAACGGCGCTTCCAGTGAGCGGGGCAGGGCCCTCCCTCTTTTTGTTTTGTGTCACCGGCCGGCAAAATGTCATGAAAACCCTATTCGATTTTTGACAAGAACGAAGAGACGAAGCCCAGTCTAGACCGTATAGACTTTCCCCCCTTCCCCTCGAGCCTGCGGGGTTATCGCGGGGAGCGATTTGCTGATCTACCCGAGAGAACAGACGACAGTTCGAGGCATCAACCACCATTGCCCGCTAGAGACTTTATCTTCTGTCGTCGTTTCCTTGATGACCGCTTCTGCTGCGTTTGAAGCCTCGCAAGGCTCCCGGCAGCTGCTGGACGCTCTCGCACGCCTCTAGGGCGAGGTACCACGGAATTCACAGTGCTACAGCGATCCGATCCGCTCCACTGCCTTGGAGAGAGTCACACTGAAGGTGACCCCGTTTGTCTCGTTACTTGTCACTTGTCAGATTGGCGCTCACCAGAACCTTGTAACGCTCTCCAGCCCCTGGGCGAACTCCGACCCCCTGGAGGTGCACGTGCAAGCGACATGCCGCGAATCACCAGTCAGCAAGCGGTGAGGAAATTGGACTCCTCGAGTGGGCTTGTAACTTTTTTTTAATTTTTTTCTTCCGAATCGCACGATATGGACCACCGTTTGGGGAAGCGATCAGTCGACCCCATAACCAGGCAAAGAATCGAGATCACCGAGAAACCCCCCCCGCTTTCCACGATTATGGTGCCCATTCGCTGGATACTCGCAGGCCCATGCAAGCGTACTCGCAACAAGGACTACGGCTGTACAGATTCGAATTTCTTGATGCGTGTGGGGGGTGGGAAAGAGCATCATACAGGTCCCCTCTCGTCCATATGGAGTATTCCGCTGCACGCGTAAGCACAGAGAGCAGGGGCACGCAAAAGGAAGGGTCATTGATATCAGCTGGGAATCGAAGCCGGTTGCTTGATTTCAATCTCTTGACAGGTCGGGGAAGCCGGATACATCCTTTACTCTCGTAGGTGTCTTGACGACAGCACATCCGCATCATGTGTGTATGTGCGTGGTATTCCGTCCCAAGAGACCTGCCGCTGCAGGAAACGCAACGTGAAACCCTGCAACTATCTGTCCGTTCCCATGCAACACTTGGGGCGGCAGGCAAGTTGTTATTGGAAAGTTCCCGATCAAACGATGTCGCGCTCTACCATCCGGCGGGCTACGTTCAATCCATGCATTACAACCTCAAGGGGCCATCAACGTCTCGACATCTTAATTCAGACACTCTGCCGGGGGGTTATCTCCGTCCGGGCTAAGCGCTTTGCGATGAGCTGTTCGTCTCATGTCAACACACACGTTCGCTCTCGCTGATTATCTCGGGGCTTAGGTAGGTGGGTGGATGTTCGGATAGACTCACCTCGCCGCACGTCACAGGTTCATACTTGGCGGGATGCGCCTCATCGACACAAGTGGGCAACACACCGAGTTTTTGATCGAAATTGAAACCTTTACACGTCATCGTTTAGTTGAAAACAGGTTTTTGGGATCAGAAAGACACAGTCGGAGGAAGGGATCACTGGATCAGCCCCATCATTTGCGGGATCAATGACCTCACATCCCGCGAGGCTGCAGGAGACAGACTTACCGAAAAAGAGAGGCATCGAGATCCTGTCCTCCCGGCCGTGCTGCAAGACCCGATGCACCGTTGACTTGAGACGGTCATTTGTCAGCCGCATGAGAAAGTCGCCAATGTTCACCACGAACGTGCCCGGTACCGGCGGCGCCCACATCCACTCTCCGGAGCTGTTAAGCACCTGAAGCCCCTTGTGCTCGTCTTGCCACAGCAGAGTCATGATCTGGAGGTCCGTGTGGGCCCCGACGCCGACCTCGTCCGGATCCTCAACCGGGTCGTCGCCGTGGCCGGGGTAGAAATTCACGGCGAAGTCGCCTCCCGGATACGTTGTTGCGCCGTCAAAGTGGTCCTCGGGCAGATCCAGCGCAAGTGCAATGATACGGATCAGACGACGGGACAGATCCAGACAGGCACGCCAGTGTGACAGCAAGGCAGACTTGAAGCCCGGCAGGACGGCGTCGTCCCCGGAGTCGGTCCAGGTGAAGTCTTCTTTTGGTAAGTGCTCCCGGACGTGGACCGGAACCTGGTCCAAGCGGTTCTCGTACAACGGGTCAAACTCTGGCTCGTAATGAAACATGAAGGCCTCCTTTCTGTCTTTGGACTCCGTGACGTTCGCCTGTATCTCTCGAAACCCACAGTACCCGTATGCAGACGTGTTCGAGGTCAATTTCCGCTTCTCACCCTCTGGGAGCCTGAAGAACCTGTCATCGTGTAAGTCGTTCGTCTCAACTTAACGCCACTGTCATCGTCGCCACGTCTTTTTGGTGGCAGAGACCTACTCGAGCCCCTTTTTGTGAGCGGCACGCGTCACATCCTCTGGCACACCGTGGTTCTCGATATAAAAGAACCCGCTCGTCTTCGCAGCGTGCAATATCTCACGGGCAACCGCCTTGCGCGCGTCGAGATCGCCGTAGATACCACTCAGGTCAATGATGGGAATTTCATCCGGGGTGCAGTCTCGCGGCCTGTTCGTCGACACAAGTCGATATGTCTGGCCCTCATAACTGCCCAGGTAGATCTTCTTCATCCCAGCGGGTATCGTTTCCGTGCTGGTGGCCATAATGTGTTCCTGCGTAGCGACTAAGGCCGCATATGTAAAAATTGGCGTAGATGACGATGTGCTGTGCGACGATTGAGTCTTTGTGTTCAGATCACGTCTGTTTGGAGCCGTTATTATTTTAGACTTTATATCAAAGGCAGCCCGAGACTTACACAGGAGTTACCCAACCCGCGTTTTTTCGCCACTGGTGTCCCCCGGAGTCCCTACGCACAGCAGATCGAGGTTCCATGCTCGACCAACCCCGGTCCGTCCATATCCGGTTATCTCCACTCCACCTGCAACCCCATGCTCCGGCGCTGAACGGTTTCCATTGGACGATAAAGTCAGCGAGGACGAGATAACGACTTTCCGACTCCGGCTAATTCCGTTTTTGTCCGGCGCGTCCGACGACGTGCCTTTCTGCCATCGTCAAGACCGCGGCGACCACGCGATATCCGCATACCCCATCTCCGCAATAGTCGATCTCGAATTGTTTTGTAATGTCTGGAAGTGAGGAAAACATGATGCAGAACGAGACAGATGCGTCCAACGTCCGCCGCCGCCGGCTGAGCGATGAGAGCCGTCAGGACGGTGCGGGAGGCGGCAGAGATGAGTCCAATCGGAAAAGGAGGCGGCGAATTCTTTCTTGCGATACTTGCCGTCGGCAAAAGTGTCGATGTGAGCTAGACGAGGAGTCTGAGCAGTGCTCACGGTGTCGTTCGCTAAGGTAAGAAAGCGCATTATCTTGGTTGTTATGCGGTCTTGAGGTTAGGGGACAATCAAGGATTGTGATGCCCCAAAACGATATTCCCTTCAGAAATTAGCTCGAAATGATAGGGCAATATCAGATGGGTTGACTGACAGGGTGTAGGATTACCTGCACGTGGAACGACAGCGGTGACACGCATTCCGTCTCTTCAAGAGAAGCACCGACGAGTAAGCCAGACGCGGACGCAAGGTAAGTTCTCCGCCCTCATGTCTGTTTCTTTCTGGGAGAAAAATGCCTCCTAACCTTTTTTTAAAGTGCTAAAAAGACGCAACTCGACAGAATTAAAAGTCTGGAGGCCTCGATAGCTGATCTGAAAGCCACTGTGCAAATGTTGGCGCCTAGCATCAGGCCAGATTTAAAGAGGACTTTGGCCGTGGGCCGTCAGGAAAGACTTATTGCTGTTGATAAAAATGTTACTAGCACCAGCGTCATAGATGACAACGACGGGGCTGGAATTGTCGTCAGCGGTGGTACTGGTGGTACTGTTGGTAGGTCGTCTGCAAACGAGGATGTTGAACCGGCGGATCGACATGTCTACTCCTCTCCCGCCGAGGTTGTTCGAAAAGTCGGAAGCCAGCTAAGCGGAGGATTCCGAAGAACATTTGATGTTCAGGCTGACCTAGTTTCTCTGGGGATACTGAGCGAGAAGACGGCTCGCGACTTAGTCTTGGAGTAAGTGTTTTTCTCCTATACAAAAGTCGTATTAGTGTCAGGGTTCAAAGAAATTGTGGGGGGCCAAGACAAAAGGAAAAGCGGCAACCTTGGGCTTGAACGATGCCTAGGTGTGACGGAGAGGGTGTTAACAAGCCGGCATCTAATTCTCTTCTTCCTCTAACGCAACAAGCAGGTTTGTCCGTCGAAGAAAAAACACCTTGCTGTTAAACAGCGAGATCGACCTGGCCCCGAGGAATAGGGATCTCAGACACGCGTCACCATTTTTGCACGACGCATGTTGCCTGCATGCAATGAGATTTTCCGAACACAGCTCTTCAGTTTTGCATCGACGCGTGTTCGAACATGTGCGGCTACAACTTGGCCAGCTCATGATTGCGAGTCCGTTGCCGCTGGAGGAGTTGATGGGTATTCTCATCATGAGTCTGTGGGCATGCTCGCCATCGGTGCGTGATAAAATGAGGCCGACTCTATGTTCCAGCAATAGGAGGCTGACACAATGCTACAGAGCCCCGAGTATGTCGACAGTTGGCTGTTGAGTGGGCATTGCGCCCAGCAGGCGATGTTGAGTATCAACTTTTCGGAAATTCTGATGAGAACAAAGGCGAGGACTTCGACAGAGGATGACCAAAGAGTCGTACGACTTTGGGCCAATACATGCCTAGTTAACCTCCAGTCAGTTTGTTCTACAACATCAAGTCTCGACAAACTACTGACTTGCATTCTTTAGTTGGGCGGCTACTACAGGTAGGCCAGCGACCGTGCCTTCTGCCTACTTGGCACAATGCAAGCTCCTCCTCAACTTTGAAGAGGTGACCATGCGCGACGCCATGATGTATGCGGAGATCACACTGTACCTCATCCTGCAGGACAAATTTTCGCAGCGCTCGTACCTCGGTGCCGACGGGGAATGCGAAGAACTTGCGGCGTGGAAGTTGAGGTGGAACTATCTGTTTGGTGAGTACTCAAGTCGACGATGTCAATACCCGGCTTCCACTTTGGGCATGAACATAATTAAGAAGACAACTGTCAATGCCGATTACTAATATTATGATTTCCCAGAACTACCCGCGGCCTCGACACTGAGGATAAGCCATTCCATCGCGTGGCTAATTCTCGCCCGACGCTCACTTGAGCACGACCAGGCCTCTTCGGACGACGACTCCCTGTCAAGCTCGCCGAGGTTACAGCCAGCTGATGCCGTGCGTCAGGAGCCGCCTTCTCACCAGAACCCAGAGCTCCACGACTTGGCGCATGCTCGGGTATGCGGCTTCGCGACAGAGGTGGTGAGGGCGTTCGTGGAGATGCCATCCACTCGGGCAGAGGAGCTGCCTGAGTTCCATCGACTCTGTGTCGCGTACGCCATGCTGATTATCTCCAAGTATGAGCAAAAGCCACCTTATGGCGGCGTAGATGGTGGCAATAACGGCGGCAGTCATGAAGTGCTGCAATTGCTGAAGGCGGCGCAGAAGCAGAATTCAGTGTGGTCGGCCAGCTCGCCGTCTGCGATTCAATTCGGGTTGGAGAGAGCTTTGAAGAAGGTCACCGCGCGGGTCGAGGGGACGAGCGGTCCGAATGTAGCGAACGTGGCGGCGGCGGCGGCGGCGGCGGCGGCGGCTACGCCCACAACAGCCATCGTCACGGACAACCGCGCGCCGCACAGGATCGCCATGGCGTCGCCGAGCAGCCTTAGGGAGCAACAGGTAGCTGCTGGTGGTACGCCGGCGGCTTGGGGACAGCATCATCAAGACGCAAGGGGACGACAGCAGCAGCAACAGCCACCGTCGCACCCACAACAGGACCATCCATCCTCGTTCACAGGCACGACAATGGTGCCAGAATTTGATGGGTCATTCTCTTTGGAGATGATCGATAACTTCTTCAATGGGGGACACCTCAGTCTCGGAGACCCCTCACTCTTCTAGATATGTTTCAAAAATGAGAACGTGCTCCAACCGTAGTGCACTGTCTTGTTGTATAGCCCCGTAACATTGAGAAATTCGTACGAAAGAACCGTGAGTCTGCGTACCTGTTTCGGTACAAAGCAGCTTCTGCGTTCCCCCTTCCGTTATCAAGAAGCACTTCCCTAGTCAAACGGGAGCCAGATCTTTGCCCTCCACATTGATGGGTTCTATGCCATTTTTTGTCTTGTTGCTGTTCCTCCACGCATAATCGGACTGCTGGGGTTCTCGATGGGGGCGCATTGAGCTTGTTGTAAACGTCGCGTGTGGAGGGTTTATAGCATCCCGTCGGTCGCCGTTGCCAATCTGCTCTTGTCGGCCCGTTTATTTTTTCGCAGTCATGATCCTCGAGTCATCTTCGTGCCCGCTCGGATTTTGCGTTTGGACAGGTGCTTCGGTATTGCCATTAATTTGTCAAACGTCGTCTGAGGGGAAAGACAGCGTTAGCAAAGTTGCGTCACCCGCGAGCTTCCTGCATGATTCGCCACTGAAATCACCCTATCCTAGCTGCGCTTGCCAACCAACTGGCAAAACTAGTCTGTACAGACTTGTCCAGCCAATCGACGGCCAGACTACAGCTCGCAGCGTCCTATAATCGACCACATAGATTCTGGCAAAAGGGCTGAACTCTGTCTCGGATGTGGCCGTAGAGCTTCCCTCAGGGTCCCTCCGACCCAGCAAACGTGGTACGTATTCGTACGTTAAACCGAAAGGCAGTGAGAGAAAACCGATGTCATTCGCTTTCTTTGGTGTCATCGACGAAGAGCGAGAGCCTACTCTCTGCCATGAAGTGACAGACGAGCAAAAAGAATGGATTATTGAGAGGTGTGCATTGACCAAACTCTTGGACACTGCGAAAGCACAAAAAGGGTTGGGAGAATGATTCGGTACCAATCGACGGAGAGCCGGGAGGTTGCAAAAAAGAATTGATGCGCGGCACCGGGTTCGAACCAGTGCTGTTTGAGTTAGCGAAGTTCCCAAAATCGAGAAGATATCAACCTACTTTCTGCCTGTCAACGGAAGTGGGAGGGCAACGAGTTAACCACTACTCCAACCACGCCTCGAGTTCATTGTTTTTTTTTTTTTGCTGGTGAGATTCCGCGAGTGATTGCTGCCTTACGAAGGACGCGGGATGCCCATGTTGGCCAGAAGCAGGGCGCTTCGTAACGGGACGTGACGCGTCGTTCTTTCCATTTTCGCTCCGTTTGCAAGCAGGCTTTTACCCGAGTAGGCAAGGACCTATGCAGTTTCCCCAGAAAGAGCCCTCGCCGCCACCAATTGCCATCCTTGTTGCCTCGAATTGTTTGCTTAATCTCCCACCTCTTTTCCACCAAAATGTTCGTAGCGGTCCATGCCTCTCCCCTGGCCGTAAAAGCGGTCTACGCCCAATTTGAACCGACGGCTGTAAAGATTACAGCAAACAAATGGCAAAACCTGCATGCAGTCTGTTAGGCGAATCTAACAGGATGCATAGCGCCATTGTTGGGCTCTTCAGACCTCGAGACAGCTTCTCGAAGATACCTGGGAGGAATTACAGTATTCTGATATCGATTCGAAGGTTCGAGGTTGAATTCGGATATTCGGATTGGCATACAAGAGATATTATGAAAGACGATCCTCGTCGGAAAATTAACTGAAGACGTAGATGGATTGTGCTTAGATGGCCAGCTGTCGGGCTTGCCAACTTCAAAGGACATTTTGAATGGGGGCACTGCGCCTACTAATTTTTGCAGGTCGTCGTCGTCGTCTGGTACGTTGACTGTCAAAAACGAGGAATCGTACAAAGCATCAACAACAAAGGCCGCAGGTCCGGTTTGCGCAAGCTGGCGCGCTTTGCATCAACATTTGCTTCTTTTTGAACGAAACACGCGGTGAAACAGATGGACAGCGGGCCGGCGGGTTGATGTAATTGGAAAAAGGGGACAGACGCGCAATTCGGGCTTGGGCGCCGTTATGACTGGTTTTTTCCATCGGAGGCGGGCAGTTCCTCCGACGTGAAGTTGAAGAATCGCGATACCGATGAGGCTTAGACGACGCATTTCAAGCCTAAGGACACAACGAATCGGCCAATTACCTCTTTCGGAAGCGGCATCCTTGCACATCAGAAGCCTATCTGATGTCGTGGGACCCTACTTGGACACTTTACCGTGCTAGCGACGCTCGTGCCTGCGCCAGGAACTCCAACGGCAGGTTCGTTGGAAGAAGTCCCGGGAGATGCTGGTCAGCAGAGGGGATTGAGCTCACGTGCCCGTCGAACAAGCTCAAGGAGGTGTGCCACACAGATCATGATAGATATGACGACAATTGACGATTAGTAACCATTGCAGCTAGAGTTCACGGCTTCGTGTAAGATGATAACGGTGGGATGCATGTTTTGGGAATGTGCACGGGAAGTTTCTATTGACTGCTTGGACTTAGGAGCGGAATTAACGTGGACGATTGGGGGGGGGGGTTAAGGTTGATTCTAACAACGAAAGGATGGGGTGAGATGGGATGGATCAGCTGCTTGAGACGGCAATAACATCACCAACCAGTAAGGCAAGTTTGGCCGTTTTTCAAGTTCTTGTTTCCTTGGTGGTGCACTGTAGACACCATCGTTGCTCGCTGTGGAACCTTGAACGAGTTTAGTCAGCCAAATAATCAAGCTGGCTTCCCTGTCACAGACAGCCCACAGGTCTGATGAATAAGGTTTGATGAGCCACAAGATTTTGCGGGCCCTGCGGAGAATCCCAGCACTTCCAAGCCGCAGGTGCCGAACAAACAGTGGACCACCCGCTGAATGCCGTCCGTCCAGGCCCTGTAGGACGGCGCCGACAGCCTACAGGTGAGTGAGGTGAACCTCGAGGCCCACTTTCGTTGTCCCAGGGTCGCACCACACTCTGAACAAGGTCCCGAGTAAGGTGTCGGAATGGCTCCTTACCTTTTTGGTATCGAGAATAGCCTTTTTGCGTCGCCCGCTCATTTTACCTTAGGACGCAGCACGGGAAGTGCCTTCGGCGGCCAGCGCTGTCCATCAACGTCCCGCCTCCCGGCCCCATCTTAAGAATTACATCTTTCGGTCGCCTCGTACTCCGACCTACCCTCTTGACCTGAACATGTCGGGAGCCTGCGACTCCTTTACTCGGCTGCACAACGCGCTTTGAAGAACAACTTATGCGACCATGGGTCTCGGTGTTTTAGAATCCAAGTCCTTGGACCATGTTCCAGGTGAGTCCAAGTCCACTACCACCCGCTCTGTCCTCCTGTCATCCCAAAACTGACGCTGTCAATCCGCTCAAAAGGCACGACGCGCTACTTCGACGACCCCGACCGCCCACAGGCTGCGACCAACGCTCATCACGGATTGAAGGTCGATAACAGCGGAGATGTTCCCATTATTTTGGTGAGATACCACTCCAGGAACCACATCGCGACCCGCCACCCCCGCTGACAGCCCTACCCTCCAGATTCCCCAGCCCTCCGACGACCCGAACGATCCCCTCAATTGGCCACTCTGGAAGCGTGATCTCATCACCTTTGTTCTGTCCATAACCGCCATCTTTGCCACGGCTCTGGGTCCTATTCTCGCTGCAAACACCGTCACCATCGCGCTCCTCTTCCGCAAGAGCTTCACGTCCATCGCGCTATTGACGGGCTACTTCCTCCTTGGAGTAGGCGCCGCAGCTATCTTCTTCGTGCCCTCAGGACGTGTATGGGGGAAGCGCCATCTTTTTATCCTAGGAATATGCATCCTCATCGGCTCGTCCGCCTGGGCCGGCGCCGTCGGCACCAACTACAACTCTCTCCTTGGCGCCCGTGTCGTCCAGGGCATCGGCTGTGCTCCGTTCGAGACCCTTGTCAACGCTGCTGTCGGTGATTTGTACTTCGTACATCAGCGTGGCTCGCGGATGGCCTTCACCAATTTGGCCGTTTTCGGCGGTGCCTTCTTCACACCCATCGTCGTTGGTAAAATTACCCACAGCATCGGCTGGTGGTGGACCTTCTACCTTGAAGCCATCTTCTGCGCCATCATGCTGCCTGCTGTCTTCTTCCTGTGCCCCGAGACGGCCTATCGTCGCGACGCTGCTCTCAACACCGATATGGTAGCCAACACCAGTGACCATGAAATGAAGAATCTGGATATGAACCACGGTCATGACAAGAATTCTGCCGATACGACGACGCTTGTGCCTGGCATGGCCTCCAACTATGGCGCTGACATTCCCGAGAAGACGTTTATGCAATCGCTCAGTCTCTTTGATGGCCGCAAAACTGATGAAAGCTACTGGAAATTGCTTTTGCGCCCGTTTCCACTGTTCGCTCAGCCAGCATTCCTCTGGGGCTGCCTCGTCCAGGGAACCATGATCGGTTGGACGGTCTTCATCGGAGTTATCGTTGCCGCCATTTTCCTCGGACCCCCTTACTACTGGAATGAGGTATACGCCGGTTACGCGTACGTGGGTGCTTTCGTCGGAGCTCTCGTGGGATTCATTATTGCAGGTGTCTTCTCCGACTGGAGCGCCAAGTTCATGACTCGGCGCAACAATGGCATCTACGAGCCGGAGTTTCGCATCGTCATGGTGCTCCCGATGTTCATCATTGGGGGCATCGGCCTGTACGGCTTCGGCATCACCTCTGCAGGACTTATCAGCAAGGAGTTCCACTACAGCATTCCTCTTGTCTTCTTCGGTTTTGAGGTCGCTGGCATGGTAATTGGCGCTGTGGCCAGTTCCCTCTACATTGTTGACGCCTACCGTGATCTTGCCATCGAGGGCTTCACTTGCATGATTATCTTTAAGAATATTTTCAGCTTTGGACTGACATACAGCGCCTACGACTGGATCATTGCCGGTGGCACCAAGCGCACGATGCTCGCTATTGCGAGCGTGCAGGTTGTCGTCTGCGCAACGAGCATTCCAATGTGTAAGTGTCATCTTAGCCCAACCGTTAAGGTAGTGAACTGATGAGAATCCAGATATTTATGG